CCCCTCCCCCAACCTTTTTCAATTCGCGTTATTTCACAAACTCTGTTGTGCTACTTGTTCCCACCACTCACCCCTCTCTGCAGTGTTACATATTTCCACCACTTACCCCTCTCTGTAGTGCTACATGTTCCCACCACTCACCCCTCTCTGTAGTGCTACATGTTCCCACCACTCATCCCTCTCTGTAGTGCTACATATTCCCACCTCTCATCCCTCTATGTAGTGCTACATATTCCCACCTCTCATCCCTCTATGCAATCCCCACCACTTACCCCTCTCTATAGTGCTACATATTCCCACCTCTCATCCCTCTATGTAATCCCCACCACTTACCCCTCTCTATAGTGCCACATGTTCCCACCTCTCATCCCTCTATGTTATGCCCACCACTCACCCCTCTCTGTAGTGCTACTTGTTCCCACCTCTCACCCCCCTCTGTAGTGCTACATGTCCCCACCACTCACCCCTCTCTGTAGGGCTACCTGTCCCACCACCTCTCTGCTATTATTCTAGACGCGACATCTTGATGAACATCTGTGCTGGAGAACCGCGGCGAGCAATGAGAAGCCATCACTTCTCTCCGCTTTTGTCTTTGTGATCCTATGATTATCTTTGTGCTCTGATTATCTTTGCGATCTATCTGATTATCGTTCTGGTCAGTCTGGTTATCTTTGTGATCTGATTATCTTTGTGATCTGATTATCTTTGTGATCAATCTATAGTTATCTTTGTGATCTAGATATATCTAGTATCTTTATGATCAGTCTGGTTACCTTTGTGATCTGATTATCTTTGTAATCGGTCTGGTTATCTTTGCGGCATATCTGGTTATCTTTGTGATCAGTCAGGTTATCTTTGCTCCTCCCCTGGTCCCCGCGGCTGTGAGGCTCGCCGTGTGTTTGTCCAGACGGAGGGAAGGACAACTCCACGGACGCATAATACACGCTTCTTACTACACACTTCTGCTCATTTTGATGAATAAAGCTGTTGCTAAATATAGCATGGGCCGAGTTTTGCTTTGCTTTGTGTATGTGAGTGTGTGTGTGTGTGTGTGTGTGTGTGTGTGTGTGTGTGTATGTGTGTGTGTGTGCGTTTTAAGTTGTCTTTTTCATAAATCTTGTTTCCTTCTCGCACCCCCCCCCCTGTTTCCCTTTTCTCCTTTCCCCACATACACACATTTCCCTTCACCACCACCACCACCCCCGCCACATCATCACACGCTGACAGCAGCTGCAGCAACAACAGCAACAGATACAAATTATAAGAGCAAAAACAGCAACAATAACAACAGCTGCAACAGCAACACCACCACCACCAACAACAACAACAATAACATCAACAACAGCAACAACAACAACAGCAGTACATACCGACACCATTAGGCACGATCAAACAACGACATTTTATTTTGCTTTCTCAAGCGGGCCATACATCTATGAATCTATCGTTTCCTCTTGAGCTATAATTTTTCCAATAACTTCATTCCCTGAAACCAATTGTCTCTGTAAAGGTGGTCGCCAATTTTGAGATCCACGAACTTATCGTTCATCCTCACAAGCTCAGCCACTTCAAGAGTAGTGGGAACTCGGGACTTCACCTAGTGATACAGCAAGGATAGAAGAGTCACCTGGTGATACAGCAAGGATAGAAGAGTCACCTGGTGATACAGCAAGGATAGAAGAGTCACCTGGTGATACAGCAAGGATA